TATATATAAGTTATTTATATATTATATACATATAAATAAAATCTTGGACCTGTGAAATGTTTTATAGAATAGATCTTCCTCCTACATGGGCTATTCAATACCAAAAACTTTTAGAATTGTATGTAACAGAAATAAATGTCTTTGTCTTTTAAAAATATATAGATCAAGAAAAAGTTTTCACACACACACAAAAACACTATTTGATAGTTACTAAGGGTGTGAGGGAGACTAAATCACTAACTAGCGGTGTTATTGTTGTTAGGTGCTATCAAGTTGGTTCCAACCCATAGGCACCCTGTGTGCAACAGAATGAATCACGGAGAGTCCTGCGCCATCCTCATAATCGTTCCTATGTTTGAGCGCAGTTTTGCAGTCACTGCGCCAATCCATGCCATCTAGGGCCTTCCTCTTTTGAGCTTCTTTGCAGCAATGAGCTTAGACATAACAATCTTGAGGATGGCGCAGGAGTGATCGGTCTTTTGTTTTCTTTTACATGGGTTCCTATGAGTCAGAGGGAGTCCATGATACCTCGCAACAAACAGAAATTGTTCAGTGATATTAGTTACATTTTCACGTGTGGTGTTAAATTGCGATCTGAATATTCAGTTTCCAATAGTCTATTTCTCTCTCCATTTAGTTTCTCATATTTGCTTTAGAATAATTGTTGGCCTTTTGATCTCACATAGTTGTTGTTGTTGTTGTTGCTGTTTTTAACAGCACTATATATACATCACAGGTTCCAAAACTTTTTTGAATCAAATTATTTCCTAAAAGTCAGATGTGAAATTACCTTCTCATCACACTTCGATCATCACCCTATATCTAACCCTCATTGTTTTCTTAAACAAGATTCAGTCACTTAAGTTTTTAAATATGTATAAGTGAACATCTCATGTATTTTAGTCTAAAGAACTTTCCATATATGAATATTCTTCTTATCTCAATGGTATTTTAAAACCTATACTCTTGGCAAAGTTAATGATACTATTATTAGTAGCCCCAAGAAACTTCTTTATATGAACTCTCAAAAATGCTCCCACTTAACTTTAAGCCCTTGCCTAAGAACAATCAGTGATCATGGTGTGACCCTGTTCAATACTTACTCTCATGAAAGGGTCACTGAAGATATGGGTGCTAGAGGAAAATATGGGAGAGAAATCAGATGGTGCCCAGTGATCAGAAGGAACAGTGTCTGAGGTCTTAAAAGCTTATCTTAAAACAACCAGGCATCTAAGTGAGGTGTTTGCTAAGCAAAGCAGCCCATGTGATCCAAGGATTGTAAATAATAAAATCCAAGATCAGAGGAGAGAATAGTATTAGCGTTTAAATTCTGAGCATCTGTTTTGCAGAAGGTTATGGATGACACTGCACGCCCAAAATCCATTTGCAGTGTCCTCACAGGGATTAAGCCTTCATTGAATTTCCTCAGACCATTGATGGGGATGTGAATAGCCTTGCCTTCAGAAAGCAAGGATCAGTAAGTGAATTAATATAGATATACTTAGGTTAAATTTTAACATCTTAGAGTTTTTTCCCTTTTAACTAATTTTTTATTTGTTCTTTTATTATTTTCTGATTTCTTTTAGATTGAGGTTTTTCTGTGTTTTATTTTGTTATTGTTGTCAGAGGTGGGAATGTATAATTTTCTGTATATGAAATCCAAGATAAGTAAATCTAGAGCAATAGTAAATAGATTAATAGTCTTTAGGGTTATGGCAGGAGAGGGGTGGGGGAAATAGGATCTAATAATAAAAATGAAGAAAATGTTCTGAAATGGATTCTGGTGGTTATTACACAACTCTTTGTACTGTATTCAAACCATTGGATTCTATGATATGTGGATTATATGTCAATAAAAGTACTATATATTAGTAAAAGATTGATTGTGGTGATGATTTCACAATTCTTTTAAAGATATTTAAACCACTGAATTGTATGTTACATGAATCATGTCAGTAGAACCAGTTTTTTAATGGGTAAATGATATGAGCTGACCATTCAACAAAGATGACATCCAAATGGCCAATGACCACATGAAGAAATGCTCACAATCACCAACTACCCAGAAGATGCATATCAAAGCAACAATGAGATACCACTTTATACCAACAATGACCACCAAGTTCAAAAAATCAGAAAATAACAACTGCTGGAGAGACTGTGGGGAGATTGGAGTGTCGCTGATGGGACTGTAAATATGTACAAACACTGGGGGAAGCAATATGGTGCTACCACAAACAACTGGCCATAGAAATTCTTGCATTCCAGTCATCCTTCATGCAGGGTATATCGCCACAGATATAAGAATCACAACACAAACAGACATAGACACACCCATGTGCATCGCAGCACTATTCACAATGACAAGAAGTTAGAAACAACCTAAATACCCATCAGTACAGGAATCAATAGAGAAACTTTGATACATACACAGAATGTTATTATGCATCGCTAAAAATCAACTACAAAACCATGAACCACTGCATGCCATGGATGGACCGGAAAAAAAATATGCTGGATCAAATTAGTTCCATCACAAAAGACAAACAGTATATGAGACAACTGTTATGGGGTGGGCGGGGAGAGAGAAGATGAAGATTTTTGTGCCAAAGAGAAAAGAATTTGGAGTTCAGCAAGGTAGGGAGGGCAGGGAAAGGAAGATGAAATACTAGGCTTCAGGGTTTTCAGGTATGAAGTTGGGTGAAGTCGACAAGAGTAATCCAAAGGGGGAAAAGAGAAATCAAGGAAGCAGTGGTACGGTAAACTATTGGGTAGGGGTTGATTAGTAATTTAAACTGTTGAATACAAAATGGATGATCTGAAATGTAAACTCCCACTTAATAATTCACAATAAAAATTGTTATTAAAAAAGAAAAATTCTTTAATAATATAAATTTCAAAGTAATAAATACAAGTCTAGATCAGTAAGGTGGTGAGATTTGAGGCTCCAAGAAATTTTGTCTGGACATTGTGTCCACCCAGCTTGCGTCATTTCCAAGTTCTGACCTAGGAGTTAACTAGCATTCTTTGTCATCAGCGCTGGGTCCAAAGGGACCAGAAAGTAGGTGAGGCAATTATATTCCGCTTATCAGTAATGGGTCTCTCGGGAAATCTGGTCCCAGTGGCCATGGAGGCTCCTGTAAATGTCTGTTCTGTGATTGCCCCCAAACATCCTTCCTGCATACAAGGCCAAGGCCATAAGCCTCTTGTCTTCACTCATTCAGGACTTACCTATATTTCCAGAATTTCCCAGTCTTTAAAATACAGTGGAGCATTGACCACTCCATAGTGACAGCCCCCACTTCTCCCAGGTAAGGCTGTCCCAGTATAGTTGTCAATATTTATGTGGTGAGGAATAAAGTTTAGAAACTCCTTAGCTAAATATTACATATCTAGGGAACAATAAGAAGTGCTGAATCCATTATCTGGAGCTTGTGATAAATCCATTAATAATCAGCTATTTCTCTGTCTCTTTAGAAGCATCTAAGGATGTGGGGATAAGAACTGGAAATATGAGACACAAAGAGTCATAGAGTAGATCTGTGTATAGGTGTGATTTTCTATATAAAACAAATGAGATAAGACTCAGTACATTCCGTGGAAATAGCATCAAGATTGAGTTGTGCCCACTGGGTGTATAGGTATGGCAGCCAGTTCTGGCCTTAGCAATTATATTAATTGATTTGCAATGTGATTCATCCAAGAGCTTGATTTGCCATATCTTACCCATCCATGTATAGGTTTCTGAATTCACTATTATGCATTAATCTGATTGCACAGTCATGAGTGGGGAAAACCAGTCCAGTGTCTCCGAGTTCCTCCTCCTGGGGCTCTCCAGGCAGCCCCAGCAGCAGCAGCTCCTCTTCGTGCTCTTCCTGAGCATGTACCTGGCCACAGTCCTGGGCAACCTGCTCATCATCCTGGCCATCAGCACAGACTCCCGCCTGCACACCCCCATGTACTTCTTCCTCAGCAACCTGTCCGTCGTGGATGTCTGCTTCTCCTCCACCACAGTCCCCAAAATCCTAAGCAATCACATACTTGGGAGTCTGATGATCTCCTACGCTGGGTGTCTCACACAGCTGTATTTTCTCATTGTGTTTGCCGACATGGACAATTTCCTCCTGGCTGTGATGGCCTATGATCGCTATGTTGCTGTGTGCCACCCCTTACACTACACAACAAAGATGACCCCTCAGCTCTGTGCCCTGCTGGTGGTTGGATCGTGGGGCATTGCCATTCTGAATGCTCTGCTGCACACCCTACTGATGGTTCCACTTTCATTCTGTGCAGACAACAAGATCCCCCACTTCTTCTGTGACGTGAGTATCCTAATACTCTCCTGCTCTGACACACACCTCAATGAGATGATGGTTCTTATTGAAGGGGGCCTGATCATGATCATGCCATTTGTTTTTGTCCTGGTTTCCTACATTTGTATCACCTGTGCCGTCATGCGAGTTCCTTCTGCAAAAGGAAAATGGAAGGCCTTCTCCACCTGTGGCTCCCATCTGGCTGTGGTTTCTATCTTCTATGGCACCATCATTGCTGTGTATTTCAACCCTTCATCCTCCCACTCAGCTGAGACAGACATCGCAGCAACTGTGATGTACACAGTGGTGAACCCTATGCTGAACCCCTTCATCTACAGCCTCAGGAACAAGGACATGAAAGGGGCTCTGAGAAAAATGATTTCCATGGAATTTTCCTCTGTGCGATATTGATAAAAAATTCTGAACACCAGGAAACAGTTACTCTTTAAACTGTCCATCATATCTTCTAGCCAATTTTTTTTCTTAAATTGTTTTTTATTAAATAGGAGGTTGAAAAACATTGTGTTAGTAATATATGGTTAAGTAATATTTATGGAGCATGTCATAATCCTTTTTTTGTATGTCAAGGTATTCTGGCATTTTAATTGTTTCCTTCTTTGTAGTAGAGCTTTTTAGCCTGTCAACCAACGCGTTTGAAGCGGCTTTTGCTCACGTGACCATCATTTTAGTTGTGTTTCATAAAACTATGGCACCCTCTGCTGAGTTTGAAAGGAATTGCTGAGTAATTAGATGCAGGTTTGAATGAGCTCATGCTCTCTTTCTTTTTAAAATAATTTTACTGGGGGCTCGTACAACTCTTATCACAATCCATACATCCATCCATTGTGTCAAGCACATTTGTACATTTGTTACCATCATCATTCTCAAAACATTTGCCTTCTACTTGAGTCCTTTGTATCAGCTCATTTTTCCCCTCGCTCCTCCACCCTCCCTCACGAACACTTGTTAATTTGTAATTTTTTTTTCATTTCTGACACTGACCGATATCTCCCTTCACCCACTTCTCTGTTGTCGGCCCCCAAGGAACGGGCTATATGTAGATCATTGTGATCAGCTCCCCTTTTCTCCCCCACTTTCCCCTTCCTCTCCTAGTATCACTACTCTCATTATTGATCCTGTGAGGTTTATCTGTCCTGGATTCTCTGAGTTTCCAGCTCTTATCTGTACCAGTGTACATCCTCTGCTCAAGGCAGATTTGTAAGGTAGAATTGGGATCATGATAGTGATAGGAAGGAAGCATTAAAGAACTAGAGAAAAGCTGTGTGTTTCATCAGTGCTATACTGCAACCTGGCATGTCATAATCTTTTCATACCTGCCTCAGAGAGCTTGTCCTAGTTTATACTTTGACTTTTAATTTTGTGAAAGGGCTTTTGTGATACATAAAATCATCTAAATTTGTATGTAGTCACAACTAGAAAACATTTATGATTTCTTCTACTTCTTTTATGCCTTAGGTTTTCTTACTCATTCTGTCATTATTTAATGGTCAGTATATTTCATTCTCATATTTAAGTTCTACATTTATATAATTCATGCCGATGGCACTATTTTCACTTTTTCAAATATTTAGTGAAATGTCCCAGTTCATTTTTAATAAAGTTCTCTCTCTTCACTGATTTGTAATACCACTTTTCTTATCCGCAAAAAAGCTAATAATTTGTTGAGAAGTTATTATGTACCAAGTGGTTGATAAAACCCTTTATTTTCATAATTACAACAAGAAGGCAAGCATCATTATTGCTATCATTTCCCATCACCCCAGGTTCAAAAAATGTTATGTAATAGGCTCAAGATCCTGCAAGAGCCAGGATTGTGACCTCTTCCATGACCAACTCAATCCTCCAAAACACTTTGTAAATTCATATATAGAGAGAGAAATAAATCCATTTTTAGCTTCTCCATTATACTGATCTTGGTTTTTCTTCTTGTGCCAATATTGGGCTATTTTAAATCCTCCCAAAGAACAGCAGCAGTGTGACCACAATAAAGAACAGTGGACATTATTTTGTCTGACCATACCATGGGTTAGCCACTAGGTCTAATCCATTTGCCATATTACTAGCTACTTATTGAAAGCACTAGTTAGTATTCAATTTGAAACCTAATTTTGTAAAATACATTACACAGTCATCTTATTTGATTTTTCTGTGCATCTGTTATTATTTATCATGATTTTTTTAAAAACTCCTGTGTCTCCTGGCTTCTTTTTTTTAACAGTTTTATTGGCATTTCATCTACATATTATACAATTCAGTAGTTGAAGCCTATCAAGAATAGTTATACAGTCATTATCACGATTTTAGAACAGTTTCTCCTTCCTTGTACTCATTGATATTTGTGTATTTTTTTAAATTGTGGCAAAGATATACATAACAAAACATTATCCAATTCCACATGTATAATTCAGTGCTATTGATTATACTGTCTATGTTATACACCATTTTTTAAATTTTATTATTAATTGGGAGTTCACATATATATTATTCCATAGCTCAATAACATCAAGCAGTATCATATAATTGCTACCACAATCAGTCTCCAAATATTATTTTTCTTCCTGGACTCCTTGACATCAACTCCCTTTTACCACCACCACCCACCTACCACCACTCTATACCCCGACCCCCAAAAAAACACTCATTTTCTACTTGCTGTCCCTTTAACACAAATTCAAGAGGGTGACCCCTAATGACATAACACCTCTGAGATAAACCTTAATATGAACAAACACACAACAAAACAAAAATGCAGAAAATGTTGAAAGCCAGATGAGGTGCAGCGTGCATCAGAGAGGGAGATCAACTGACAAAGTTTTAACTGTTCAAGTCAGGTTTATCCCTTTGATCTGCTATACTCACCTCTCTAATGCACTCTGTTTAATAACCACTTTCCTTCCATTCCTCTATTTATGGACAGAGAGAGATCACCAGAGACTTATTTCCTATGTAGCTCCCACAAATGTATCTTGGGTGACCACTGTCTTCCATAGCCTTCTGCAAACTGGATTCTCCCAATTTAGGCTCTGATACTAACCCCTCCTTACACTTCAAATTATATGATTTGTAATATTTTGATGACTGATGATGGTGTGCTTCTTCCATGTGGACTTAGTTGACATCTCACTTAGATGGCTGCTTGTTTGGAGACATGCCTTTAAGACCCCAGACACTATTGTATCTGATAGCCGGGCACCACCTAATTTCTTCGCCACATTTTACTATAGCACCCATATCTTCTGTGTTCCCTTCCTGAGGGTGACTATTGAGCAGGGCTATGATGTAAGAACTAATTGTTCTTACATTGGAGCTAGAATTCAGTGAAAATGCAAAACCCATTCCTGGATCTATATATTTGTTGGTTGTTGTTGTTTGTTTGTTTTTATCTGCCTTTGGCTCCCTTTCTAAACCTCCTTGTTAATTTATGGTAGAAAAGCTTATCAATCATCCCCCTGGGGCATAACAATCTTCCATTAATATTGTCTTTGATTAGCCCTTGGTACTAATTTTCTAAAGCCCTGTTGATAGAGGGATGCTGGGCCAATGTAAGCTAACTCCATATCACAGTATCTGAATTATGCATTTTGTAAAACCATTATTGATATCCTTTTCCAAATTATCCCACCACCATTAACATAAACTCAACACCCCCTAAACAAAAACTCTTCCTCCTTCACTCCTGGTAACTGTTAAGCCAAGAGAAAAAGCAAACAAAACTTGATCCTAAACATTCGTCTTTTCTTGTTCTTTGTATCCTTGCCTCATTTGTCTTGTCACCACCTCCTCCTTCTCTATTATTTATATCTATATCCATATATAGATATAGATATATGTATATTCATGTCCTCCTGGGGTTTACTCTTAGACGTCTTCCTTATCATTCCACACTCTTCTGGACAATTATATCTACTCTCCTATCTACAAGTAAATATGATCCTGGTGTTCTGAAACCATATAAACCAGACCACACCTGGACTATATACCCATAATATTCCAACTCTTAGGACCTTCTTCCTGGGTATCTTATGCAGCTTCACACTCAACACTTCCTGTTGCTTCTACCCCCTCCACAGCCTGACTCACAAGCAAACAAGCACACCACATACTTCTCTCTAGTCTATATTGCCTATCTCAATTGATGGAACCATGCTGGGTATCATGTTCCCTCATCCCCACTGATACTACCAATCTAAGTGTTCTTCACTCCACATCCTTCACATCCCTCATGATATTCCTGACTCTCCACGTCTTCCATCTTTCAGGGTCTCACCTCTTGCTGGACTGTTGCCCACTTGATGAATTCACTGTATGAATCTCTCTCACTCACACACACACACACACACACACTTAAGCTTCACTAGTTTTGCTTCTCTAAAAAATTCAGCCTAAGACACTCCCTTTGCTCAATCTTCCAGATACAGGGATAATAGAATAATTCTTATATCTATCAGTTTGTTTGAGATAAAGTCAGTAGTAATCAGCTATTTCTCTTTTCTTTAGGGGCTACAAAAGAGATAGCCAGAAAAATGTAAGCAGAGTTGCATATAGTAGCAGAGTTAGGCTTGTATATGTCTGTGTGTTTTTCAATGTAAAATATATAAAACAAGAGTCCAGAAGTCTAGCTGGAATAGCATCAGCACAGTGTGGGAAACTGGGAGTGTAAATGGAGCCAACAGATCATGTCTTAAGAATTCCATGAACTATTCTGCAATCATATCTTATCTAGAACTTTATCTGTCACATTTTTTACCATTCAAGCCTATATTTCTAAGTTTGACCTGGCTTAGACCTGGTTCTGAGTCCAAGAGCTGAGTAAGCCAGTTAATTTTCCAATATCTGGAAAATTATACCTGAAATATGATGTCAAAGAATAGATCTAGACTAGAAGAATAGATATATAGAAGAATTTTTATTTGTGTAAATACAAAAGATAGAAAACTAGAAAGAGTTCAAGAATTTATCAAAAGGAAATGAACTACACAGGTTATAATTGATTCTTATAAGGGAATACAATATATACACTAAAATACATACAGATTTATATATTCTTATATGGAAAGGAAATAAAAGGAACTTGGAATGTACAAAGTATGAATCTAAGAAAATTGGAAGCTGCCAAATTAAACTAAATGCATAAAGATTGATATTCTGGTTGTTAGTGAGCTGGAATGGACTGGTATTAGTCATTTTGAACAGAAAATCACAAGATTTACTATGCTGGGTATGAAAGATTTTAAAGGAATGGGGCTTCATTCATTGTCAAAAAGGACATTTCAAGATCTATCTGGAAGTATAATTCTGTCTGTGGTAAGATAATATCTATCTGAATACAAGAAAATTCAATCAATACAACTATTATTCAAATTTATGAACCAACCACTAAAGCTAATGAT